AGGTACGTGGACGTAGCGGTGTGGGCCTGCCATGGCCTGCCTGGTGAGGACACAGCCATGCAACAAGGGCGTCAAGGGGACTGGCATGGACTGGCCATCTTCTGGCCTCTCCTGTCGCATGAAGAAATATATATATATATATATTCCTCTGCAAATCCGTGTGTGTTTGTGTGTGTGTGGGGGGATTATGCACAGTTACGTAGGACCATCAAGTTACACAGGAAAGAGTGGACCTCCCATACCCCAAACCAAGGTTCTTTCTGCCAATTTCCTGTAGTACCCCTTTGGACCAAAACCCCTCTCGACTTGCAAGCGCAACCTGCAGACTCGGCCGACCTCGCTGCAGCTTCCATAAACCTGGACATTTGCGCCCAACAAACCTGAAATCGGCCCCAAGGGGCGATTGGTGGACTGGGAGAGCTGTCGCCATGCGCCCAGCAAGCTGAAGCTGGTGTGCATGTCATGCACCTTCTTGGCCTCGGCGCCCAAACACACTGCGGGTGCCGTCCCAACACCCTGGCCCCGAACCCATCCGAAAGTGGAGGACGCAGGAAAAGGGATTTCGAAACAGATTGCATTCAATGGATTGGCTCACCAAAGGATCATGATTCATTAAGGCACAGTATGTCCAAAGAGTATACAGCCTACAGTTACAGTGGGTTCAAAGTACGTGGCACAAGTTACCCCCAAGGTCGGTGGTTTGTATGGACCCTCGCCATCCCCCCAAAAAACATCTGTGGGGTGCCAGTGCCATTTCTCACCTCTGACACGATCATGTCGCACCGAGCTTTCACGATCTTCTTTCCTTTTTCATGTGTCGCCGGTTCCAAGCTGAACACGCGGCAGCCGAACCGCACTGTGTCACTTGGGGGCTTGACTCATCACTGAGTCAGCTGGGTCAAGAACTCTAAGGACCTGTGGATGGGATCCCGAGCTCAAGCGATCCAAGGGGAGGCAGAAACCCATTAGCCAACCGGCAGGAGACGGTGCACCCGGAAGGGAGACCAGGCATACCACAGGGTGTCCACACTCCTTCAGCCGGATTCCACGCCAACACCGGAGACATCACCTCGGCCACCGGAGACATCACCTCGGCCGAGCATCCAAGAGATTCTGCACCTGTTCACTCTTGCTCTCCGACGCACTCGCCTGGCCAGTGCGTCAACGGGCGTCCAAATCTCTGCGGAGTTGAGGATGCTTGGAACACTTCATGTGATTCGTGCAGGGGATGTGCAGTTTGCTCTTTCTTGGTGCAAGGACTCATCCAGAAAGGAACACAGTGAGGAAGGACAGCTGGGGTGTGCCTTTTTGGGATCCACATGGACCCACATACCCTAGGAGTCCCTAGGATCCACCGTAGGGGTCCTGAAGTGTGGCTGGATCATCCACCTTCCACAGGTCATCAATAGACTACCCTACGCTACATATAGGACCTTCAGTCAGGACACCCATTGAATGATCCTGGTTTCTAGACCCATCGAAAGAACTTCCGCCCAGCCAAACGCCAGAAGCAGGGCAACCCAACAAGGCTCTCAACGATGCACCTGCCAACGGTGGAAAGCGCGTTCAAAGGAGAGGCGGCCCAAGAGGTTCCGACGCACATGGCCTGAGTGGCGCAGCAAGGCCCAGCGCCAGTCCTCCAGTCCTCCCAAGCAGGAGGCTTGGTGAGTATAACACTCAAAAACATATCCCATTGCCTTAAGCCTTGAAAAGGCCAATTCCTCCAGTCCTCCGACCTCAGGAGGCTTATACTGACTCCCGAGCCGGGAAAGGTCTAGTCTGGAAAAGAGCGGTTCACTGAACTGTCCACCTCTTCGTGATTTCCTGGGGAAACCAAAACCTCCCCCCAGGTCCAGGTTTTGCAGGTGATCCACTCTGTTCAACTGGGTCGGCTGAACGGACCTCATTTTGAACATCACATCAAAAAACCGCCTGGACAAATCACCAGCTCCCGGGTGCTGACCGTCGACCCCTCGAACCTCCCCTCCGACCCATCGACTGGCAGTCAGTCCCACGTGATGAATTGATCACACAGTTGGGTGGCGCAGAAACGTCTAGAGTATGGAGGCGTTTTCTGGGCACCTCTGCTGGAAGACCCATCTGCTCACTTCAATCACCCACATGAGGTGAAGCCAAGGAACTGCTAAAGGTCAAGGTCTCTTTCACCTCGCTTCGCCGAGCCGAGCGTCACGTGTGAAACGGCTCTCTGTGACGGCTCTCTGTCTCGATCGATCCGGAAGGGGCGAAGACGACCGGTGCCGGGAGTCACAAGACGTCACGTTCGACGGGGTGGTGTGGCGAAAGTCCCATCCAGTGAGGGTAGATAATGGGCACCCCGACTACCTCCATGGATAGCACCCCTTTGTGACCTTAAGTGTATGTGTTTTGCAAGTGTGATTTTCAAGCCTTCTTTCATCTTCTTTTCCATATCATTGGAGCCGGAGGTTGATGGACTGGTTGATGAACATGTCTGTCAATGTGTCCACCACCTTTCATCTCGCTGAATCTCTGTGATCAAAGTCTCGAACCGAAGACCAGCCCTGTCTGAGAGGCCCACCGATGGCCAAAAGCAACTGAATCAAGGTCGGTCTTTTGAAGGAACCAAGCACAAAGGCAATCACCAACGTTTGAGTCTTGGGTTCTGCAATTAGGGATCCAAATGCCATATGCCTTCTCAGAAGGCACTCGAACCCTCCAAGCCTACGTAAAAAGGTGTCTCCAATCCAATCACCCTCAAAAAAGGAGGGTGTCAATGGATTCACAGGGAAGGACTTCTGCACTTCTGCATGTTCAAGCTACGATGTCCCAGCCGACCCCCCCGGGCAACCCACCTGCTTCTGCTTCGTCTCCAGCTTCCGAGTGAGGGACGTCACTTGAGCCTCCAAATCATCGATCTTCGCCTGGGGAGGACCCCACCACCACCACCACCACCACCACCACCAACCATACATTGCTCACTGATCATAACCGATAGTAGTTATATATATATATATATGTACTACCCGGAAGTGAGTTAGGACTCTACTCTACGGCAGCTCCAAAAAAAGCAGGATGGACAAATGACATAGGTAACGAAATAGGGTACAAAAAGAGTGGGCAAATGAGATCCTGCTGGCACATAAAAATTGCAACCCATCTCATGTGCTATACCATGGGCGTACCGTAGCCGTCAATGATAGCTTTCAGCCAATGAGATTGGACTATGGAGATAGGACTATGTGCTGAATGTCAATCAAAAAAGAGTATAGTCCCTAGCCATGAACGAGCAACGCCAGCCACATGCTGGCATCAGCAAAGCTCTTTCAGCCCATGAGTTAGGTCCTTGTGGCCAATTCTATCATCTCCTGTGGTCTCCGCCACAGGTAGGCTTTCGGCAAATGAGATAGTCCAACGGATTGCGGGGTGTGTGTTCGAATACTCCCAACTCACCTGGGACTAGTATAATAGTAATAATCAATAATCATCATCCAACGCCACCATAGGAAGCCGGCTAACCTTAATCATAAGAACCATGCATACTCTATATTGTATAAACATCGTGGGGCCTGTACGTGTTGCGCGCGCTGTGTCGTTGGATGGCGCCTGCTGTTGACATGCCACGGCCTCAGCCCTGGAGCGCTGAGCCTCCAAATCTGCCAAATGCTGAGCCTCACGAAGCGCTCCATGGAGCTCTGAAGCTGGTGGACTCTACTCCACTACTCATCGCTACTAGGGGCTCCTGGCCGTACTACTAGGAACAAGAAGCTACCCCAAGATTCACGCTGAAAACCAAAGTGGCCTTTTTCTCCGCTTAGTCTTAGTCAGTCTTCCAGTCTGGTCCATGGCATCAGGACTGCCATCAGGTTCCATGTGGGTCTCTTTCGGGGTGTGCCAGCAACTCTACACGGGTGAAGCTTCTCTAAGCATATGAAGGTGATTGAAACGGGGGAAACCCGAAACCCTGTTTAGCGGCAACAGCACCAACAAAACTTGGCCAATGTTCAGGACCTAAAAGGAATGGCTCCAACACACACCATTCCAAAAACCCACAAAGGACAAAAACAACATGCCCTAGGGCTCCAACCATATCATTAGAAGGTGGTTAGACCCCCCAAACCCACCCCAACCATCTTCTCAGGAGGTAGTTGGAGACTGATTCCATCATGCGGAAGCTCTCAGAGCCTTAGGTTGGAATCCTCCTAACACATCAGTTTGGGAGAGCCAACAAGGAGGTGTGCTCAAGAACTTCCAAGAACCCTAGGGCTCCAAATGCCTCCTGAGAAGGTGGGACTGGGGTAGGTATGGATGGTGTAAGTACCTTCTGAAAAGGCATTTGGAGCCTTAAAGGAATAGATTTGGTCTCACCATCCATGTTCACCACTTCGTACTTTCCAACCAGTCTCCGCGCGCGATCGCGCCTGTAGTTGCCGCTCAGCCAGTCTGAACTCGTGCCTGGGTGGCGATAGCTTTGGGTAGCAGTTCTCCCTGGGGGGGCTAAGAAGTCACGTGGTGCGGCCATGGAAGACTGTGGAACCCAAGGGGGGGGGTGGCGCTATAGACTTCGGCTCGGCCATGGCTCGATGACCATTCAGATCCCAAAGGCCGAAGTTCGCCAAGCAGGTCACAATGGGCCTAGGCCTAGTCCTCCTCCCACAATGAAGTTCTGACGTTGCAGAAGTGGCCTTTGGTGGATGCCAAGAACCATCACCTGCTTTGCATTCACCTCTAACAAGTGAGTGGACCTGGAATCCGTTTCTGATTCCGTCCATGTGTTTCCATGTGCTTCAAAGGGTGTTATATCATGTTATATCCCTTTCCAGGAGAGATGATGCAGGGCCACATCCGAAACTCGGTCGCGAATTCCGTCTGCCTCCGGTCCCTGCATCGCCCCCCTTCCATCACCGGACCCTGAGGGCTACTCCACGACTCCATACGCTTCCCACATCCCATCATCTGAACTCCCAGTCGGTTTGTGGAGTCATGTCGGTCGGTTTGCACCGCCCCTTTTTTTCCACGCACGTTCAGTCTCCTGCATCTTCACTGGATTCAGTTGACTGATCACTAGCCTCTGCTTCACTGGACTCACTTGGAACAGGCTCAGGTGTCTCATCACCGGCAGCCACATCCCTTGACTCTTCACTTGGAGCGGCTTCTTGCTGCTGCTCAAGATCTGCGACTGTCTCGGACCTGTCACTTGGAACAGGGTCAGGTGTCACATCATCAGCAGCAGCCTCCCCTGAATCTTCACTTGGAGCT